CTACAAATCAAAACAATAACATTTCAAAAGCAAGTTTCGAGAATAATAATATTTCCATATCGAGTCGAGCCGCGTACAGCGTAACATCGTCACCAGCCACAATCGTGTAAGCCCACGATTTGCCGTGCTCCCGATAGCGCCATCGAACAGGGAGAACCCGACTATAAATCCAACGGTTGACGGTAACGTCTCGATGACATTGGTCACGAGATCAGTCATTCTTCTATGCCAACTCGAGCAATAGGTCTCGATATATATATATTATATTATATACGAGGAGGCATATATAAATTTAATTCCGCAGAAACGTAGAGAAGCCAGTGAGGAACGACGAACGGGAATAGGGTGTCGCATTGGTGGATGTATGCCGAGTGCAGGCAGCGATAAGGCGCGGCTTAAACCGGCCCAATCGGCCTATGTTTCACGTTGCTCGCGACATTACCACTTTATATCACCTATCGTCCCCCATATATATTTGGATAGCGTGGTATTGCGTACGTACACGCGTCTTCCCTGATACGCGCGTACTTTAGCCTCCACTATGGTACAGGAATGTAGAAAACGTGAGCACGAAGCTACGATATCGACCCCTCCCCCCTCTCTGATTTATACTATCGTATATATATATTTTGTTACAACAAAACGGGTTTACTCGCTAAATTTTTTATCCAAAATTTAAATAAATATCTCCATTAATTTTTTCCATCAAACATTGGGAATAAGGATATGGGAGCGAGTATGTGTTGAACAAATAATATAAATTTGTGGATACGTAAGGATATAACAAGTTCGTTTGAAACTTCAAAATTTATGAAGTTATAAATAAACTTTCAAACTTTATAAGTTCATTTAGACAAAAACACTGAGTTTAAATCTCGTTATTCCTAAGTAATTCCAATCTCGAAGATTAGATCAATTAGCGATTGGTGAAATCCTTGGACGTTATCAATCGTTTGGAGCAAAATCACATTTCGAGATTTATCGGTGAGCCGCGCGAACGTAGGTATATAAGACGAATGCGTGTCGAAACGTTGTTGTATCGGCGCATGCCGATGGAAGGAACAATTATAAAACGGCGACTATTGCCTAATCGTTGTGGATGGTTGTGTGGCGCGTTCCCGGCCAATTGTACGCCTAGGCACGACGAGAGAACCGGGTCTCATGTGGGCGAACTCGGCTAGACCTCTCCCAGCCAGAGAGTTGAGTCAGCGGTTCCTGGCGCAAAACCGATTCGCTGGAAGCTGCCTCGTATCGAGATTCATCTGATCGTGGCAATGCCATTTACCGTGCGTTGCTCGACTCAAAGTTCGAGTCTCTGCCCCATCTTAACGAACCAAATATACTCTGAACAACTGAACTCGTTGAAGACGTATTCAGATTTGAGAATATCCAATTCAAGATTGAGAATATCCTAAACTTATCTGACAACTCGTTCAACTTTTCGCAGAGGATGATTTAAATCCTGGATTATTATTGGAAAGCGTGGTGCACGAAATAACAGGTCGTAAAATATCAGTTCCAAGAATAACAGAAGTCGGCATAAGTCATGCCCAACCTCTATTAACTTGGTAAATTATGCTTAAAACGTTTTTCCCTCGGCAAGAACTCGTAAAATATTAAGCAAGCTATGATATATCAAATCGTTCAGAATTCGATACGGTTTTCTCCTCGGCTAACAGGGAAACCGATTTTTTCCCCCCCTCCACTCCCCCGATCCAAGGTATTTACGGCTCCTTAGGATAAAAGTGCACGTGCTGGCCGATAGTTTCATTCGTCAAGGTTACCTGCAAGCGCTTGCACGAGAGTACGTTCGACTGACAGATTGTAATGACCGACAGACCACTAATAGTTGCTGTTATTCAGCATGCGAGGCCCTGGCACGAAGGGATCACGGGAACTTTATGGGTATGATTGCTGTTTGCCCCGTAGCTACTCGTGCATGTTCCTACATGTATGCTACAAGTCGTTTCAAAAGTGAAACGCCACGTTCTGCGTATAATATGGGATAATGCAAAACACGTTGATATCGTTTTGATATCGTTTCTTGAGTGGATTTCATTTGATTAAGGGCGAATATTGGATCTTTGATCGAAATCGTGAGCTTTTAATAATCGAGAAATTTGTATCATATCTCTCGAAGATGGATTCTTTTAGAGCCTTCTCCTCTGTGCTCGCATCGAATGGTAATATTAAAATATTAAAATGATAATCTATTTATCGATCTAATAGGATTATTCGATATGATCAAGTTTATCTGGCTTAGAATTTTATAATACTATTTATATACACTTTGTTGAAAGAAATGTATCGATTCTGTTTTATAAAAAGAAAAGAAGAAAAGAGAGATTTAATTAAAGCCATTCGTAGTAAAATTTCGTTTAATTACAATTTCGTTCATTCTTCATTTCCATTCCTGGAAGAAATTTGTTAGATAATTATTTCAAGATTCAAGAGTTATTAAGAAGATAGTGAGCGAAAGTCCATGGTTCGCATGATGCGTTCGAAAATGCACACACGAGTGTTGTTCTCGAGTATTCACCTCATGAGAATGCAATAGGGAAGTGAGTCGAACTTTACTTCGATAGACGATACGAAGGAATCTTGATAACATTCTCGACAACGAAAAGGTTAAACGTTTATACATGCCACTTGCACTCTGGAATCGAGCAAGTGAACTTTCATTCTCTTGAAGACACAACGAAAAAGTTGTATTCGAGGTATTGGTACATTCTGATATAAGTATTATTAAAAGAAAATGTTTGAAACAGTTTGAAAGGGGAGAGAGTTCTTGTCGAAAAAATTAAAAATCACATTCGATCCGTGAAAGAATATTGCAAGTAAAAAAATTGTATGCGTGTTGTTACGTTAAAATGTCAGGAGACTGCATTATTTATTTTTATCACTTACGTGAAAAGCGTTAGTTAATGTACACGTACATTTGCATCTTTATTTCGTAGAGAAAATTTAACACGGGAAAATGGAAAATTATAAAATATTGTTTCAAACTTAAAATTAAATCGTTTAACAATTTTATATTGGTAATTGAATAAAAAAGAAAAAAAAATTCAGAAAATTCATTTCGATAAACGATACAGATAAATTTCATTTGTAGATTAATCTCCTACTAAAAATTTTTCTAATTTACATTTTACGTTTCTTAATCGTAAATTCATCAAGGGATACGATATTATTTCAATTGCACGCTTCATTAATTGTTTACGTAACCAGATTCGTGGATAGAAATTTATAGTTTCTTTATTTTTAGTTTCTTCGATTCCAAGTCTCGAGCAGCATATTCCGTTGTATATAGTGTACACTTGCGTAATAACGCGCGAAAACATTAATTATTGCGCTAAGTGGGAAACATGGCCGATTAGAAAAGATTAATGCGAGGATTGTAGAGGAAAAACACTGAGAATAATTTTCTAAAAACTCTAATTGTTACGTTATGTATGCAACGATCATATCAAATCATTTTTATTAAAATTGCAAATATAATAATATATTTGAAGAAATATACACATGAATTTTTAATAAAATCAAGATTATTATAGAATAATATCAATTTAAAAATGATACGTGTAATCCCAATATGCGTTCTCATCTTCCGCGTTGTGATGAGACATTCTAATTAATCATACTCCTATCACGTTATTTAGCTCTTTCTTTTTACAAAGACCTTGATTCTAAGGTTTTGGTGTCGATCAAAATTGGTTTTAGTGCGATATTTTATACGATAGGCGTTAAGAATCAAAAGATTAATAATTTATAATCCGGATATATTAATTTTCATTCGAAAAAATCTTCCTCAATTTCATTTTGAATATTTCAAAGATGTTGACGCATAAAAACATTTGAAACGCGAATCACTGTAAAAATTTATATTTTGATACATTTGAGATATCGATTTCACCGATAATGTAATCCAAATATTATAATAAATATCTCAAATTAAAAAATCTACCCTTATTATACGCGTACTCTATACATTTCTTATAAATTTCTCAATAAATATCCTCGACGATCCAACGACGAAACAAACATCTCGCATCGAACAACTCGTCAAGTGAAGATATAAAACCAATCATACAATTTTGAAAGCTGGAAAGGTGGCCGATTAACCTTCTCGAAAATCCATTGTGAGGGACAGAATAGCAATAAACAAGAAACATAACACATAATGACGAGATTACAGTTCTCGATCCTTCACACCTCCACGATCCCTCCACGAAGAAGGGGAAGGGTCGACTCGGGTGAAGCGTTCGCCAAGGATCGGTTCCCGCGCAATTTATCCCGCATACCCCTTACGAAATTCCCCAAGATAAGAGAGCCAGCTTATGTGCCGAGAGGCACACGAGGTATTGTGCAAGCGGGGTACCGAGTAAAAAGGTAAGAAGAGAGGTGTACACGCGAAAGAGGAGGGAAGAAAGGAGCCGACCGCTGCGCGAGTGTGTACGCTCCTCTCTGCACTCTCCTCTTCGGAGGAGAGTAACGCAACCGCGGGCGAAAATAAGGACGGGAATAGCGGCAATTACCGGGAGGCCGAGAGAGACGGGGATATCCATCATCCGAGGTCATTTGAATACCGCGGTTCTGAAGAACAACCGAGGAGGACGACGAGGAGGGGAGTGGGCAGGGGAGTATGATCGGTCGACGAGGAGGAGGAGGAGGAGGGGGGAGGAACGTTCGTGGAACGAAGTTTGAGAAGGAGCGAGAAAACGGAGCGAAGATAGTGGTGGAGAAAAGGTGTAGGAGGGAAAGGGAGGGAAAGGATAGATTCTACGCGAGGTTGTACACAGGTATATACACAGGCGGCCGTGTGGAAGGGAGAGGAAGGATAGTCGACACGAGGGGGGAGGGGGAGAGGGAGGGAAAGAACCGGTTGGCGAAGAGGTAAACACGCGAAGGTGATGTACCCTCCGTGCCTCTCTTCGTCACTACAAAAGTGCCGAGACTCCTCCAGGGATGTGGAGTGACGGTTCCTGAAAAGTCAGCGGATCGAGCCACCGTGGCGGAAACCGCCGTCGTCGTCGTGGAAGGACCACGAGACGTCGAGTTTGCTCAACGTGTGGTGTCGCTTTTCGATCATATCATATTGGGAATGATGGAACCGAAACGAGAGCATCGTGAAGAAAGACGTAGGTCGAAAAAAAGGAGAGAGAGAGAGAGAGAGAGAGAAAAGAGAGAGAGAGAGAGAAAAGAGAGAGAGAGAAAGGGATGGAAGTGAAATCACTGTGACGGATTTAATAGACGCGATAAGGATACGATGGACGAGATGGATGGATAAAAAATTACACGAATTCCTGGTTAGGATGGCAGGTGTACCAACCTGTTATTCCTGCGATTCGGTTCTTGCGAATGGACAGCGAGGGGACAGAAGAAAGGCTAATGTTTTGATCCAGAGTGGATTTTACTCGCCGCACGTCGTAATCTCGAGACGTATGCTGACTTTTGCTCCGGTTAATTCCCAAAAAAATTCGGGCCCCGGCCGTTTTTCAACGCGAACCGGGTGAAAGTAGCTAGCTCGCTGACTTTTAAACCGAGCTCGCGGCTTTCCCATAAAAAGCTGCTCCCTGTGATTCAGCGTTGCACGGCCGAACATGTGTCAAGAAATTGGCCGGATCGGCGAAAAAACCGATCGAGATCGAACGACAGAGGCTGGGCGTATATACCAACCTCGAAGTAGCGATGGAAGAGGGGGGGGAAAAAAATAAATAAATAAACGTAGTCGAGAGAGAGAGAGAGAAAGAATGAAAAGCTATCGAATCAATGATATCGTTATTATTTCGTTTCGATTCGATTAAATCGCGCTGCTAATTAATCGAGAATCGATAATTTTCTTTATCTTATATTTAATAATATTCTCGTCTGGAAATCATTCGATATTATATTATTATCGAAATGAAATCGATAATATCTCGGCCGGCTATTTGATCTGATTTAGCTTTCTTCCTGACGAAATGAAGAAAACTGTCTCTCTAATTTGGAAATTAAGAGAAGAATATAAAAACGAAGAAAAGAAGTTTTTAAAAAATACTTTTCTCGTTAAGGTTAACGGTACAAAAAATTTCACACTTGCACGTTATACGTTAAATTATACTTCGCATACACTCTTTTCCTCTTCGATCTTCGATACAATAGTTTGTTAGGGAAATCAGAAACACATCTTAGATATGCGGTAGATGTACATATTTGCATATTCCTTTTTAATCTCCTCCAGTCAACCGCTGCAACAGTTCTTCAGAAAAACAAGCAATACATTGTAGATACATGTACACGCGTATATTCTTTTCAACCTATTCAAACCTATTCTTTTCCTCTCTCTCTCTCTCTCTCTCTCTCTCTCTCTCTCTCTCTCTCTCTCTGTCTCTCTTTTTCTTCAAGATCAACATTCTTCCAAGGCGACGGATATTTCTCCGCGTTATTTTAAACGCCACCCATTCGAAGCATCGTGAAATCGCTTTATCAACGCATAATAACATAGAATGTTTATTGACACGTGTCAACGAATAATAGTTAAAATCTCAAAGTTAACGTGGCACGGCACGTCGTCACCGGCTCCTTTTCTTTTTCATCTTCTTTCCCTTATTTTTATTTCTTTACGCTCGGCGAAAGAGCCGTGCGATTTTCAGAGGAATGCCAGCTATTATCGGTCGGCTTATTCAAGTTCCAGCTGATTTTTAAATCCTTGCCCGACAATATGGCTGAGGCATGGTCCGCGGAATGTCGATTCCGCAGCCGTAATTGAAAAGAGTCGCGCTTCTTATCGCATCCTTTAACCGCATCCACATTCTTAAACGCGCCGTCTAATCCCTGTATCTGCTACTCTTCCAGCTCCTGCACCGATTAGTCAACGATCTTTTGTAATGGCTCCTCCCTCTCTCTCTCTCTCTCTCGTATCATCCTTCCAGTGCAGTGATTAAATTGAGAACGACACGATACTTTTTGTCACGATTTAAATAATAAAAACATTACGTACGTATGTATTCTTTATATTATTTATACAAGTAAACTTGATATTTTACCTTTTACATGGATAATTGAATAATTATCTATTGATAATAAATATTGAATATAATATATTCAATATTTATATAGATTTATTTAAATTTCGATTATTTTCTAGCAATTTTATTGATAAGATTAATAAAGTACTTTAAACGAAATAGATATAAATCGTGATTAAAATATTGTACGCCATCACGATTGGTGTACAAGTTGGTGCATTCAACCGGCCAATCTACGATTTGCTTCCTCGTTCGAATGGGCAGGGGCCGATAGAGAGAAGAGACGCTCGATTCTTTACGTTTCCGCAAATATTGGCGACCGTGGGACGATTCGTGGGAGGCGTGTGGAAGAGGAGAAGGCAAAGAAGGATTTGTCGTGCCGCAAGGTCTTTTCTTGTTGACGAGTTTGACGGGTCGACGGCTACTCGCCTCATTTTCCATCATCCTTGAACGTTCGCGAGCGCCATCGCTGACATGCATCGACGCAGCTGGCACGAAGAATGGCGCTAAAAATTGAAATTATAGCTCGATATTTCCTAGAAATGCTTTAATAACGCCTCGACGGTTCTTGGAAGTATCGTGGAACACCGTTAACACTCTTAATAATTTTAAATTATTCTTCGCGGCAGAAAAAGAAGGTAATTCGTCACGTATCTTTTTATTTCCAATTCTGAACTTATAAATGGTAATTACATAAATTACATTAAAAAAAAAAAAAAGATATCATTTAACTCTAATATCCTCCGTTTATTGATAATTAATTTATAAACGTGTATTAAATAACGAAACAAAAATTTTATTACGATTCTAAATTTTTTCAGAATTATTAAAAAGTTTCAACTAAATAAACTAGATCAAAAGGATTCCTCATAGAATAATAATATCCAAAATTATACTCGTATAATTCTCGCAACATCTCGATTATGTAAAAATTATTCAATTCCAACAATCTTCTCGTCACTCTTTCCTTTTTAAACCGCAAGAGGGAATTATTATTACACGAAACTCATCTGCTACGTGTCTAAAAAAAAAAAAAAAAAAAAAAAAGAAGATAGAAAAATCATTAAAGAGAAGTACGTTGTCTCGACTTCAACGCCGTTCTCTCGCCCCTCATTAAGGGGTGACCACGAAATGTTGGAGGAAATTCCCTCAGATTCTACGACAACGTGCAACGTTCGATTCTCTACGCGATGAACAATGGCTCTTCCAGCTAGCACGAAAGTAAAATACTGAAGGCTGGGACAAAAGGGTGGTGTGGACAGGAGAGGAAGAACAAGAAGGTGGCCGCGCGAACGCGTTATTGGCGGAGGAAGGCGAGGACGAAAGAGGAACGAAGCGTAGAAAATAAGAGGATGGCTCGATCCCGCGTTATCCTCTTGGCGCATCTTTTGCACAACCCTGTAGCCAGGTATATTTTCGTAAGCTGTTGTAACTCAACTTACGTATACCAGGGATTCATTATCGTGGCGTGGTCACGTAGTACCAAGACAGACGCGAATCCGCAAATGGACTAAATAAATAATTTCGCCGAGGATTATTATTAACGAGTTCTTGGAACCGACGCTCGATCTTCGCGAACGAGCCGAGTTCCCCCTTATCGATCGACCCTTTGGATCGCTGGCATTCTAGTAGCGGTGAATCTCTCTCTCTCTCTCTCTGTTCTTTCTGTACGTAAGATATGGAGTTCAACTTTGAAGTCGTGTAGAAAGGGTGTTCATTTTTAATCTATTCTTGAAAAATGAACGAGTCAAATTTTTCTATAAGAATTAACGAATAATTGATTTTAGGTCGAAATTTATTTATCGAGAAGCTGGTTGTTGTTGCGAAAAGTAAGAATCACGCAGTAAGAAATTCTTGATGAATATAGAACTTCGTCTGATAAATATAAAAATATAAAAGTACATGAAAAATATTGGAAATGAAAAGTTAAGATTAAAAATCTCGAAAGAAGATATTTGCAGCTTATTAATAATTCATTAACGAATAAATTTGATTATTTGTTAAATAAAATTCCTTCCTTTCTCGAACGTTTCTCGTAAAAACATTTTCTTTTTTTATCTGAACGAATCATCGAGGATTCCGGAAGAAATCGAGCAAAAGAGGAAGCGTGTGTATGCCCACGTGTGTAACAGAGAAGAAAAATTCGCGTGTCGGGAATTCGAGGAACGCATGGACGAAACGGGGAGCGAGGTATGAGTTTTGTGACACAAGATTGCAAGGCTTATTCAAATCTCGTCGTGATTTTTTCCAAAGGCGAATTCCTCGGGTAGCGGCGCCACTGTGCTTTCCGAACCGGTATTCTCTTCTGGCCGGCGTTATGGTCGACACTCTATGCCCGTGGTATACTCGGAACCACTGGGGCCTCTGATGGGGAGAGTTGGACGAAGAGAGGTTCGTGGTGCGAGATTGTGCTCGAGGGTGCTTCGCCACTTTTCGTTCCCTTGCGTCGCGTTCCGGTGCCTCGGCGATGAGTAAACGTCAGGATTGTAATGAGAGAGGCGATATTTTTTTAATGGAACGTGGATGGTGGAGTCTGATGGAGTCTGCAACGAGAGATTTGTTTCTTTCTAAAAGAGAGAGAAAAGAAGTTTGATTCTCTGATTTTTCTATGGATTTTTTAAGGAAGAATGTTAATTTTGATTCTTGATAATGGATAATTAATTGTGAGGAAAAGTTGTAAGGAAATTTGTTTGTTTCTTTTTGTTGTTTTAAATATCTTGAAGTTAGGAATGTTGATTGATTTTTTTACTGAATAATTTCCGTGTAGATCAATGTTTGATAATGTTTGTTCGAAATTTCCTAACTATTGAGATATGATTATGCTTGATACAATACATGGTATTGGTAAAAGTTATTCGCTTTCTTAAGAGTTATGCGATTAGAGAGTTGAACGAGAAACTTTTGATATCTATGCTGGCAATTTGATATGTAAATCCAAGTAAAACTTAATACATTCGTTGTCTGGTATTTAAGAGCCTTACCTCTCAATATCTCTAAATGATAAATACTAGTGAGAAATAAATGTGAATTCTGAAAATTCTTCAATCACACCGCATATATAATTGACATTAAGTAATTGACTGGCAATAAAGTAACAAAAAATTACGCATCTTTCGATGGAAGTGTTAAAAACATCACTATATTAAACGAAGAATTTGTTAACTTTAAAAAAGAAAAAGTATCTACGTATCTACTAAAAATAGAAGATTGTGCTAACACAAATCGTATAATATTCTCATAATTAATTCCAAATCAATCGATCGATCGAATTTAAAAAATAAAAAAAAAAAAGCACACGTACATTTAAAAAATATATAAAATTAAGTATTATTGATCAAAATCTTTGATCAAAGTCATCAAAGAGAAGAATGTACAAAAAAGAAGAACTTCGTTACACCACCACGCCTTTACATCTCGCCTATTCAAGCCTATTAATGACGAAGCTCGAAGAATCCCCGCCTTCCCAAACCCTTCTTTTTCGGCTCTCGAACAGATCGTCGACAGAGATATCGATTGAAACTCTAAAAAAAAAAAAAAAAAAAAAAATTAAAAACCCCGTGATCGAAACTCTAAAAAAAAAAAATTCGAGCCATCCATAATGCACCAGAGGTGATGGTCACGCGAGCACAGCCGCACGATTCCTCCGGGATGCAGGACGATTCTTCAAAGTCGCGGCGGAGGTCGCGGCGTATATACTTTCCAGTGCCAGTTTTATCTGATTCGCGTACCGGCAACGCGGTCGACGTTGCGGCAGGAATGCGAGAGAGCCTTCCTTCGTTCGTTCGGGTTCGAGCAAGGAGTGAAGAGAAGCGAGAAGAGGGAACAGGTTGGCGAATAAAGCAACGCGGCAGCTGTAAATCGCGCGTCGAAGCGCGAGATACGAGCTTGGCCCTGTCTCGCTTGAGGTCCGGCATACGCCGGCCATAGAGATTGATCTCGCGCTTCCTTATGGCCGTCATCGTCGTCCTTACCATCGGAATTATGGCCCTGATCCTCGTTGCGGATATGCCTGAAATTCCACGAAACGATCTCTACCCTCGGGCCACTTTCTTCGTTGACCCTACGATTTTTTTTTTTTTTTTTTTTTTTTGGGAATTTTAACGCGCGTTTGGACAAGGGATTCGACGATTAATTAGATTAATTAGTAGAAATTAAAAATGTGTGTTCTTGGATGCGATATATTCGATTCAATGTGAATTAGAACGAGTTAAATAGAATCAAAGTGGTTGGAGGTTTTATGTAATATTGATTGGGACGTATATACGAGTAAGAAAGAATACAGAAATCCAAATAGATAAAGGTTATGATTGGAGAAGTAATATCGAATATTCCCTTATTTTTATTCAAACACATCGATCGATCGATCAATCAGAGACACTTACCAGGCGTTGTATTTATTAAAGTGACAAGACTCTACGCTCATTACATCGACGAAATTAAATTCCAAGTTAAATTAGTTCGTCCGTGTCAATTGGAGCGAATTTTTCCATCATTCCTCCTTGTCATATAATTTCGTCATCATATTGTCATGCTCGAGCGAGTTGACGTTTAAGCGCGGAAACTAGAGAGAAAGAGAGAGAGAGAGAGAGAGAGAGAGAGAGAGAGAGAGAGAGAGAGAGAAGGAGAATAAGAGAGAGTTGGGCAGTCGATGGAAAGAGAACAAATTCGATGATCAGAGAGGGGAAGTCACATGGAAAGAGAGTAGGAGAGGTTATGTCGAGGCTAAATTTAGGCCCACGCGCTCATGAAGCCACCTGTTGTTACCTGGCAAACTTGTGCCATTATCATTCTGAGATGAGCGTTTGACAATTAGCATGAACGTGAAAAGTGAATTGTTTACAAGTTTGAAACGATTGGTTGATAAATCTTTTTTAAAATCTGAAGATTATAGATGTACGAAAAATCTAAATCATTTTGTTAGAAAAGAGATATGATCAGACTATGAATTTATTTATATTTGAAAGTATTTTTGATCCAAGACAAATTTTGGTCGATTTTAAGAAATAAAGAAACCTAGATCTCCATTCGTTTCCATTTTTTTCAAAAATATCTTTACAAATATGTAATATCATATTTGATACTATACAATTTTAACAATAAATTTCTTGAATTGAAAAGGTAAAGAACTTTTATAAAATATTAATTATAATAATAGAATAATAATTAAATATTAAAATAACAATAATTGATTTTATATTTTAACTAACGACCCGATAATATACTACCAGCTGTATATACAGCTTTTACTATTCTGAACACAATCTGTTTAATATTCTCCAAATATAAAATTTTAAGAAGAAAATTTAAAATAAAATGCATCGTTACATCGATGTGGAAAACTGCTTAAAATTCACCCAAATTCTATGGAAACTATATCTACATTTAAGTATATAATCCCTTCTATGATAACAATTAATCCTAATTGCCTTTCCCATTTTTCTTCTTCGACAAAGCTACTGCTTTCAAAATTTAAAATACTCACCTCAAAAGATCCCATTTTTCTTATTAACATAAAAATTAAGAGGGTTACTAATCCCACTGTCGTTAAGGATCGGCGTTAAACCCAAAGTCATTAATCCCAAAATTATCGTATTTCGAGGAAAAGGCTTGGAATCGCCTTTCATCCGGACAAACAACCTTCGAACAATGACAAATGGGATCGAAATGGACACGTCCAAACCAAATTTTCGCATTATTGTTCTTACGAGTGTTACTGGCCCCCGTGTTTCACAACGGGGGATCCTTGAGGCGGGGGTGAGGTCGAGGAACGGCAAACAATAGCACTTTGGTGATAGTCAAACCGCTAGAGAAGAGAACAATGCGACGAGGTCCTGTCAGTGTACGAGGGAAAAAATGTTTAGGATGAATTCGAGATGGTTGTTGTTCGTGGGTCAGGGGCATCGAAGGATCGAAACGAAGCATCGAAGCAAACACCTGCCAAGAAGACCTCTGCGTTTGAAAAGTCTGTGGGGGGAGAAGCGTAGCTGTATCATC